TCTTCAGGTTAACTGGGTTTCGTTGTACAGTAAACTACGGTTATAACAAACTAAAAGGGACCAGTTCGCTATAACCGTCGTTCGTTGTAGGCACATATACAGCCCATATACAGCAAATTGACGGGTCCCCAAAACGGTTCGTTATATCCGTCAGTTCGGTATAAGCGTGTTCGTTATAAACGTAGTTTATTGTATATCGATACATTAGAGGTAGTCTTGCTATTAATGTAGTGTTAAGTTTATTTCAATGTGATTATGTAATGTTAACATGTCTAACTATGTTCTTGCAACAGAATTGTTGTTCCAATAACAACTGAAACTAATGGGAGGAGAGACAAGAGACAGGGACTAGTTGACAGAAAGAAAACAGGGTTTTCTTCTCCTTTGTCAAAATTACTATTCAAGCTCAAACGTAATGAATGTGCAGTGGTCTCCAGTGGAATCAGTGGCAGTTTCTTTCCAATTTGGCAAACACGACAGGTCTGATGTCGTTGAGAGAGGAGCGCATGTCTTTAGGGTATGCAGCAAGATGTCGTAATACAGCTTCCCAGTCCGTCCACCTGTGCGACCATGTTGTAATAAACTGGTGAAATAGCTCCAGGTCGCTTGCGCTGGACGTCAGTGATCGATAACTTGCGTGCTATAATTGTATCACTCCGCGGTCAGTTACACGAGATATAGAGATGGTGCAAGGTCAAACAAGCATTAGGACATCAAAGCAGGTTGTCATTGGTCGCGGGAGTGCAGCGAACGGCTCATTGGCATGAGCGAAGTTCGACCACTCTCAGAAACCCGGCGCATGCATGTGTAGCCCGAATATACAGGCCTGTCGATTACATAAACCTAAGCACGTGACACGTGGCACAATTCATATATCTATGTAAAAGGGCTAATCATATTTGTTTGACATAAATCCTATTCTATTAGTCAGGAGAAAATATATAAATATTAATATTTAGTTTTGATCTCATACAATAGATATATACACACGACCACAATGAAAACGTGATTTTTGTGAAAGATTCCGACGAATGGATGTTGGTTAAGGTAATATCTAACGGCTGCGTTCAAAAGTCAAATTCACATGCTGAGAGCGGAGAGGCCTGGATGTTCGTGCTATGGTCACTGCAGCGTTGAGGCCGCATACAGGAGACTGATTAGACACGAACGGGTCAAGTGGGAAGGCACGATACCGAGAGAGAATCGATACACTTGAAAAAACAAACCTCAATTTGTTTAAATTTCCATTTCTAGAAGCACCTTTAACATTTAAGTCCAGTCTGATTAAAGCCAGACCAGAGTAACGGTCAATATCTAACTGTAGGCGCAGTGCATTCAATCTCACATCTAACCCCATTGATTTCACGTCAAAGTCTAACTTTTTATATACATGTCTTAATATGCCTGGTTGCCACCTTTCCACGGCATCAGCCACTGCAGCGGGACTTCACGCTGTCAGAGCTACCCCTTTATTTTCAAATCAAACGTATACCTGTTTAAGATCTTTTATTTCACTTCACCAGGCTACGTGTTTTTTGGAGGCAAGAAAATTAAATGCAACAAAGAATTTACAAGAAGAAATTGCCACGTTCTTTTTAGAAAAATACTTTGTATTCTTTGCGGTGTAGACAAGTTTTTTTTCTTTTCTTTGAGTGCATAGAGATGTGCATGTACTGTTAACCGGGGTCTTAACACGGCTTCTCGCTGCCTCCTCTATGTGCACGGAGAGATACACTGGTGCTTGGTCGATGCGTTTAGGTGCGTTGATGCAGCAGGGTCGATATAAGTCTTAACCTGCTCTTTACCTTTGAAAATATTGATAAGTTTGTAATATTTTATTGACTCGTTTGCAATAGTTTAAAAAAAATAAAAATGAATTCGGTATTTTTGTGTACACCGTGCAAAGGGGGTCCGTGGCAGAATAGTACCCATTGTGTGGTGGTTAGCTGGCGGCGGATAGTGAACAGGTGGGTGGAATGAATGCCATTGGTGATTGTGTGTCACCGTGCCATCACTGATCGCTGTTTATGCCCCCGACACCAGTTTAACTGGCTCCGCCCCAATTATTTGTTTGTTTGTTTGTTGTTTAACGCCTCAATATTTCAGCTTAATTACGTCCGTTTGTAAATAATTGGCCTGGACCAGGCAATCAAGTGACCGATATCATGAGCATCGATGCAATTGGACATGCATCAACCAAGTCGTCGAGCAAGACCACCCGACTCCTTTAGTCGCCTTTTGCGACAAGCATGAGTTGGGGAAAACCAATTCTAACCAAATTCAATCTCCACGTGGTCCAACACGATAAATCACGTGTCTTGTGACATAGCTGGAATGTCGTTGACTGCAACGAAAAACAACATTCACTCATAACCCTATGTGGAATCCGGGTTAGAATAGGTCCCCACCAACCTTTGCTTGTAGAGACGACTGGATGGATTGGGTGATCAGTGAGTGGCGTGGTGAGTGGGGCATTGTACCCGATGGTACAGGTTGTATTGGGAATGTTCTGTTAAATATATTGGTATGATTTATAACTGCAGTCACTGGTTCGACGATTTACATGTCGAAGTATTGCAGACTGATGTTTTTAACAAACAAACAAACAAACAAACAAACAAACAGAGTTTAGAGGGACAGTAAGAATTATTTAGAAACTTTTAGGGGCTTGTTTCTCAGATGGGCCTGTTTGTCAGTATCTCCACTGTGATCTATACTCATTACCATTGCGGTCTTAGCAGCCTAATGTTTTTACATGTTAATAGTGGATATCGTGCATAAATTAAAATATTTCCATAACCTTAATAATAAAATATCTACTAAAAGCAGAATCTATTGTACGATCCCGACTATATCATGAGCATGTGTTCATGAATCACTACCAAGTAATGATGACACCAGGTGTTCGCGAAAAGGTGAGCGTATCCTGCTCCACCGGTGCCACCCGTCACAAACACATGCAAAGGAAAGTCAACTGTTCACCTAAAAAAAACAACATGGGGACATAAGGCCCTAGCTGTAACGCCGTATAACAGCAGATTTGTAGCATGTAAGACAAATATACCGACATTTGTGAAACATTAGCATATGATCCAAGACGTCGATAAGGAAAGAATTAAAAATGAAAAACGTCAATTCTCAGACTCCATGACATAATTCCATCTGCTTAAGTGGAATATTTATCTTCAAAGAGAAACCAAACTATTATTTTTTTGAGAAAACTTTTTATGCCGCGGGAGACTTTCAGAGAATTCCTTCGGCAAGCCGAAAGGGAATTTGACAGTTTGACATGCTAGAATTCACTGTTGTTCCACATGTCAATCACAAAACTCGATTGTCGTGGGACCACGTGACCTAACGTCTGATGGAAGCTATTCGTTCGTGCAAGAAGTGTTAGAATGTGCACACTGCGCATGTGCAGTGTGCTTTTGTCCACCATGGTCTTAGACATGATCAGACCATGATTGTGTTTCAATCTTTCTAAGTCAGCAAATATGGGAGCGAGATAGGAGTATGTTTGTTGGACATAAAAGGTGACTTTTTATCAAAGCACATGGAACAATCCTATGTATTAGGAGAATATCTAGAACTGTTGGAAAGGTGGTTCTTGTGGCAGTACAACACAAGTCACGGTGTTGAAAAGACGTGGGGATTTCGGGTAAGGATGTAGGTCCCCAGCAACCAAGCTTCTCATAAGAGGCAGGGGGCACGGGTGGCCCAGTCGTCTTAGGCGCCGCGATTCGCTGTGCAGAGTTGGCACGCCAGAAACCTATGATTGTGGGTTCGAATCCTGATTCGCCCCGATTATGTTTCTAGGTTTGTCAGCACCATACCCGTGCTCGTGGGTTTCACCGAAATGGTAAACGTCTGAGACCTGCATCACATCGTGCTTTCCTCTAACATTAAGCTGACGATATACCTTGAATACTGTTAAAAGCGGCGTTAACCCAACTCACTCACTCACTCATAAGAGGCGACTAAATGGATCAGGCTCGGTGACTTGGTTGATTCCGTATCACCCTATCGCAGTTGAAAGAACGATGCTCGTGATGTCAATCACTGGATTGTCTGCTCCAGACGCTGGCAGAGGTGGGGTAGCCTAGTGGTATAAGCATTCCTTAGTCACGCCGAAGTCCCGGGTTCGATTCCCCATATGGGTACAATGTGTGAAGCCCATTTCTGTTGTCCCCCGCCGTGATATTGCTGGAATTTTGCTAAAAGCGGCGTAAAACCATACTCACTCACTCGCTGTAAAGTTGCAGTGGTAACACCTGTTATTCACAAACCAGATACAAATGAAGAGTGTGGGTTACTTCCCCTTAGTTCGTTACATCCGAAATAAATGCACACATTATTCAATCTTCTGCATCGTTGACCCCGGATTCTTACACAAATGGGAACTACATTTCTTAAAATGTTGTACAGTTCACCTATAAAAAAATATATATTATTGCATTGTGCCTTGTTCACTTTAAAAAAAATCTTTACCACAGGGACTGTGCAAATCAAGATTTTAATATTCAGTTTACAAGATTAATGGAAACTTGGTAGAAAGTACTTCAAAATATTCCATTTAACGGGGTTATATTAATGGATGAGGTCGGCGCTGCCATCACTCGTGTGTATTTGTTTCGCAACACTTCGGAAGATGGTTATTGTTAGGAGTTTGTTACATTCTACCCATGCCAGTAGATTGATGAGGTTAGTACGATCTAGTAGTTGATGCTCTGGATGATTAGCAGGTAAAACCAACATTTAGTAAATCAGATTATTGGGCCGACGGAATATGCACTGACCATAGGGTCTATCGTATGTATTTGTCCCCGTGTGTGGGCATTTATATGTACATGTAGTTGTTTTTGGAGTTGTACTAGTGGGCGTGTTGGGAGTTGTACTAGTTGGCGTGTTGGGAGTTGTTGTACTAGTGGGCGTGTTGGGAGTTGTACTAGTGGGCGTGTTGGGAGTTGTTGTACTAGTGGTCGTGTTGGGAGTTGTTGTACTAGTGGGCGTGTTGGGAGTTGTTGTAGTAGTGGGCGTGTTGGGAGTTGTTGTACTAGTGGGCGTGTTGGGAGTTGTTGTACTAGTGGGCGTGTTGGGAGTTGTTGTACAAGTGGGCGTGTTGGGAGTTGTTGTACTAGTGGGCGTGTTGGGAGTTGTACTAGTGGGCGTGTTGGGAGTTGTTGTACTAGTGGGCGTGTTGGGGGTTGTTGTGCTAGTGGGCGTGTTGGGAGTTGTTGTATTAGTAGGCGTGTTGGGAGTTGTTGTACAAGTTGGCGTGTTGGGGGTTGTTGTACTAGTGGGCGTGTTGGGAGTTGTATTAATGGGCGTGTTGGGAGTTGTTGTACTAGTGGGCGTGTTGGGAGTTGTTGTACTAGTGGGCGTGTTGGGAGTTGTACTAGTGGGCGTGTTGGAAGTTGTACTAGTGGGCGTGTTGGGAGTTGTTGTTTTAGTGGCGTGTTTTGGAGTTGTTGTGCTAGTGGGCGTGTTGGGAGTTGTTGTATTAGTGGGCGTGTTAGGAGTTGTTACACAAGTTGGCGTGTTGGGAGTTGTTGTACTAGTGGGCGTGTTGAGAGTTGTTGTACTAGCGGGCGTGTCGGGAGTTGTTGTACCAGTGGGCGTGTTGGGAGTTGTACTAGTGGGCGTGTTGGGGGTTGTTGTACTAGTGGGCGTGTTGGGGGTTGTTGTGCTAGTGGGCGTGTTGGGAGTTGTTGTATTAGTAGGCGTGTTGGGAGTTGTTGTACAAGTTGGCGTGTTGGGGGTTGTTGTACTAGTGGGCGTGTTGGGAGTTGTATTAATGGGCGTGTTGGGAGTTGTTGTACTAGTGGGCGTGTTGGGAGTTGTTGTACTAGTGGGCGTGTTGGGAGTTGTACTAGTGGGCGTGTTGGAAGTTGTACTAGTGGGCGTGTTGGGAGTTGTTGTATTAGTGGCGTGTTTTGGAGTTGTTGTGCTAGTGGGCGTGTTGGGAGTTGTTGTATTAGTGGGCGTGTTAGGAGTTGTTACACAAGTTGGCGTGTTGGGAGTTGTTGTACTAGTGGGCGTGTTGAGAGTTGTTGTACTAGCGGGCGTGTCGGGAGTTGTTGTACCAGTGGGCGTGTTGGAAGTTGTTGTGCTAGTAGGCGTGTTGGGAGTTGTTGTGCTAGTGGGCGTGTTGGGAGTTGTTGTACCAGTGGGCGTGTTGGAAGTTGTTGTGCTAGTAGGCGTGTTGGGAGTTGTTGTACTAGTGGGCGTGTTGGGAGTTGTTGTACTAGTGGGCGTGTTGGGAGTTGTTGTGCTAGTGGGCGTGTTGGGAGTTGTTGTGCTAGTAGGCGTGTTGGGAGTTGTTGTACAAGTTGGCGTGTTGGGAGTTGTTGAACTAGTGGGTGTGTTTGGAGTTGTTGAGCTAGTGGGCGTGTTGGGAGTTGTTGTGCTAGTTGGCGTGTTGGGAGTTGTACTAGAGGGAGTTGTGGGAGTTGTTGTACTAGTGGGCGTGGTGGGGGTTGTTGTGCTAGTGGGCGTGTTGGGAGTTCTTGTACTAGTGGGCGTGTTGGGAGTTGTAGTACTAGTGGGCGTGTTGGGAGTTGTTGTATTAGTAGGTGTGTTGGGAGTTGTTGAACTAGTGGGCGTGTTGGGAGTTGTTGTGCTAGTGGGCGTGTTGGGAGTTGTACTAGAGGGAGTTGTGGGAGTTGTTGTACTAGTGGGCGTGGTGGGAGTTATATTAGTGGGCGTGGTGGGAGCGATTGTAGTGGGCGTGGTGTCTGTGGTTGCAGTGAGCGTGGTTGCAGTGAGCGTTGTGGCAGTGATTGTAGTGGGCCTGGTGTCAGTGGATTTAGTGGGCGCGGTGTCAGTAGTTGGCATGGTGGCAGTGGTAGTAGTGGGCGTCGTGGCTCTGGTTGTAGTGGGCGTTGTGGCAGTGGTTGTAGTGGGCGTGGTTGCAGTGGGCGTTGTGGCAGTGAGTGCAGATGGCGTGGTGGCAATAGTTGTAGTGGGATTGGTGTCAGTGAATTTAGTGGGTGTGGTGTCAGTGTTTGTAGTGGGCGTGGTGGCTGTGGATTTACTGGGCGTGGTGGCAGTGGTTGTAGTTGGCGCAGTGACAGTGGTTGTTGTGGGCGTGGTGTCAGTGGTTGTAGAAATGAGTGAGTAAGTATCGTTTTACGCCGCTTTAGCAATATTCAAGCAATATCACGGCGGGAACACAAGAAATGGGCTTCACACAGTGTACCCATGTCGGGAATCGAACCCGGGTCTTCGGCGTGACGATGTAGAAATAAGAGTTGTAAGAGAACCGAGAGTTGGGAGAGAAGTGAAAGAGGTTAGAGAAGATATAATGAGGAGAGAAGATATAGTGAGGAGAGAAGATATAGCGAAGAGAGAACAGAGAGTAGTGGGAGTAATAAGAATGGTGAGAAAACGGAGCCCATTGGAAGCGGATAATATCAAATACTGGCTCAGCTATATCCACAGTATGCTCAAACCCAATCGAGATCTAAATAGTCTTTGCCAGGCTGATCCCTTTATCCCACCATCCCCCCCTCCCCTAATGTCACATAATACAAGTTACCGGGAGAATTCATCGTGACATTATGTCGTATTTTATTTCGAACCTCTTCTAGAAATACAACAATAAGCAACTGCTGATGGCAACGACGGCAAATGAGACGTAAAACTAATCCATTAATTGTCTTTCAAACAATTGCCACAAAGATCTTATGACTACATCAAATATCAGAATGTGCTGGTAGACGTTGTGACAATCACACTGAAATTTCACACCCTAAGTCATACATTTTCCGTCATCACATTCGTGGACACGACTCGAATATTCTTATCTTGCGTATATAATGTATTTTAGGGTGAAATGAACCGAGATGGGTTTCCATTTCAAACAGCCTTAAACATGTATAACTATAAAGAGACATGATCAGTTTCTGTCAAACATTATTCCATTCATTTTGATCTCGTCTATACACAAATTTCGTTCCCACCAAAGCGGTATTAGTGGGTGAATCAGGATTATTGTTTGAAAAAGAAACATTTTCAGAATGTTTCAAGACATACAATTTAAAGTAGGAGACAAACAATTTGAAAATGACGAGAGAATCGAGTGTGTGAACTGACAGCAGTGAGAGCGGGGAGACGGCGTGACCAGCGAGAATGACGAGAGAAGTGAGAACCGTGTGTGTGAACTGAGAGCAGTGAGAGCGGTGAGACGGCGTGACCAGCGAGAATGACGAGAGAAGTGAGAACCGTGTGTGTGAACTGAGAGCAGTGAGAGCGGTGAGACGGCGTGACCAGCGAGAATGACGAGAGAAGTGAGAACCGTGTGTGCGAACTGAGAGTAGCGAGAGCGGGGAGACGGCGCGACCAGCGAGATTGACGAGAGAAGTGAGAACCGTGTGTGTGAACTGAGAGTAGCGAGAGCGGTGAGACGGCGTGACCAGCGAGAATGACGAGAGAAGTGAGAACCGTGTGTGTGAACTGAGAGTAGTGAGAGCGGTGAGACGGCGTGACCAGCGGGAATGACGAGAGAATGGAGAACCGTGTGTGTGAACTGAGAGTAGCGAGAGCAGTGAGACGGCGTGACCAGCGAGAATGACGAGAGAATGGAGAACCGTGTATGTGAACTGACAGCAGTGAGAGCGGTGAGACGGCGTGACCAGCGAGAATGACGAGAGAAGTCAGAACCGTGTGTGTGAACTGAGAGCAGTGAGAGCGGTGAGTCGGCGCGACCCGCGAGAATGACGAGAGAATGGAGAACCGGGCGTGTGAACTTTGAATTGCGTGAGAACTGAGAGCGGTGACACGGCGCGACCAGAGAAAATGACGAGAGAAGTGAGAACTGCGTTAGAAGTGAGAGCGATGAGACGGTGCGACCAGCGAGAATGACGAGAGAAGTGAGAACTGCGTGAGAACAGAGCATCGACACGACGCGACCAGCGAGAGTGCCGAGAGAAGTGAGAACTGCACGAGAACCGAGAGCGGTGAGAAAGGTGAGAGTGGAGAAAAAACTGAGGTGAGTGCGATAAGTCCAATGAGAGTGATGAGTGCAATGGATCCAGAAATTCCACGGACAAATTAAAGACGAATTTTGGGAGCGGATCATGGACATAAAGCTCGCGATTATCTACGATAGCGGTTGACCAATGGCTTCACATGGACCTCGCCTAATGATCAGCATGGACAATGGCCTTTCACGCACACAGGTCAACACTTTTACATGTGGCAATGCATCACAGCTCTTCCGCAAGCATTTACAATTATACAAAATTGAAATTAAAAAAAAAACCCACCGAAATATCAAAATAGAAAAAAATGGTAAGGAAGTGAAGTTTTTTTGCTCTTCACGTGTCACTGATGGAAGGCGAGTTGGGGCAGGTTGACAGATATTCATTTCACGGAATGTTATTATCTTGTCGAGATGAAATTGTAATTCTATAATCGATCAGAATAAGGGTGGGGGAGGGAGTGGTGAGGGGGTAGGTGTTTCAACAGACATATTTCATTATAGAATGAAAGGTGCCATGGAATCGCTTATTCTATCAACGTGGATTCACAACCCCAATCTCTGTAAGATGAGGCGATCGTCTCTTTGAGTGAGTGAGTGAGTGAGTGAGTGAGTGAGTGAGTGAGTGAGGCACTACTGCGTATTCGACAATATATGTATCGGCTCTGTCGGGTTGTATAACTATCGATCCTGGACCAGACAGACCAGATATACCGAGCAGACATTTGGATTCGATGACACAAAATCAGTTAGGTCACAGCTGTGGCCAGATCCAAGACCTCTCACTGAGCAGCCATTATAACCAGTCGACCCAGGGAGCGTATTCTTAGGGTTACAATGGCACACATTTGAAAAGGTCTGTGAAACTGCTGTCAAGGATGAAAGAACAATGAAAGTCAACGTCAATTTCCAAAAATGCAAAACAATGACATAGTTAAAACAGTGAGTGAGTATGGTTTTACGCCGCTTTAGCAAAATCACAGAACACCAGCAATGGGCTTTATATTCCGTACACATGTGGGAAATCGAACCTGAGTCTTCGGTGTGACGAGCGAACACTTTAACCACGAGGCTACACCACCACCCCCATAGCTGAAATAGGTGGTGAACCACAAAAGAGGGGTTTTTATGTCACTGGAATATTTCAAAGTTTCAAAGTTAACGTGGTATTGCAGCCACTGCAGGGTGTAACAGGTACGTCCTCAAAACACTGGTACGTCCCGTGGACGCGAGATCCGTTGTTCAGTATTAGGTATTTTCCGTAGTATCACGGTACAAGTTGATCCCGACCAGGTCCCCAAAGCCATCCGCATCTCTATGAGAATGGGTGAGTGAGTTGGGTTTAACGCCGCTTTGAACAGTATTCCAGTTATATCGCGGCGTGTAATCGGAACGTAGAAGGAAATCCCGTAGTGATGCAGGTCTCACACGTTTACCAATCTCGACAAGAGCCAACATGAAACTGTATGTGACCAATTGGTTCCAGCGTTCTTATAACCAGCTTCTTCATGGTGTTACTGTTACTGACATCACCAGTACGTTCAATCAGACCCGCAAAGATCCGGGGTAGACTAGGTCTTCACCAACTCATGCAAACAAAAGACGACTATGTTTGTCGTAAGAGTCGACTGACGGGATCGGGTGGTCAGGCTCGCTGACTTGGTTGATGCATGTCGCCGTGTATCAATTGCATGGATTAATGCGCATGATGTCAATCACTGGATTGTCTGGTCCAGACTCGATTATTTACACCCCGCTGTCATAAAGCTGGAATATTGCTGAGTGAGGCGTTAAACAACAAAAAAACAAAGAAACATTCAATCATCATTGTCGTACCGGAAACAATATGGCCGGTTTAAGACACGGTTCGGGTCACACACCTCGAGGCTGGAGCCGTCGGGGGCGTCCTGCGGGGGAAACCTGTGGGGGAATCCTGCGGGGGATAAAGAAGTCTCATCAGTTGAAAGCATCCCAAACCACAGGGATGCTCATGTCAATTATTTTCTTTTCCCATGATGAAGTCAAATTTAAACTCTTCTTTAAACAGAACAGGCCATTAGTGCGCACCTCATCCAACAGTGTCTGATCACTTCAGCGAGTCTTGCTCAAAATTTATTTAATCAGGGTTACAAGATTCAAGGCATAAGTATAGCTTTCAAAGAGAGTTATGGCAGACATGTAGACATTTAAAAAATTGACCTATGCAAATCCCTATTTTGACTTGTGCCATATGTTCCCGTGTTTGTCCAAATGAACACTTCACTTGCCTTTGCATGTGTTTATGCGTGGTGCCATCGGTCGGGAAGATACGCTGACCGTTTCGCGAACACCTCATCCTCATTATTTTATAGTGATTGATATATTCTGATTTAGCAGATAAGTTTTACAATTATGGAAGAAGTTTGTCGCATGTAATAATCTACTTAACCTGCGTTTAATTACAAAGGTAATGAAAACACATTAAAAAATTCAAACCGTGATAAAACTCTCCTTGTATTGCAGTGAGAAGTGTGCCCCGCAATAAGAAGCGTACAGTTGACAAACCCCTGCAGGGACATCGGGCAGCGGTGGATCGATTGTAACAACTTGTTGAGCGACGCTGCATCCTCTATCGGCAACGGACGTCGCATACAAGCATATTTCAACACTTCTCAAATAAAACATTAAATGGCAGGGGCCATGAAATATGAATTGGAAACCGCAATAGCCAGGGAGCCAGGATGAAGGTTCAGAGAAGGGACAATGACCTATCATCCTCCAGAGCATCTGCATCCTTCCGTAGTATGTGTCGTACCAATAGAAACATCGATAAGTCATGCACAGTATTAATTTTTTAGATGTCCAATAGTCAAAG